ACGTCCGAATCTCATATGAAACGTCGACCATGTGCGAACTCCCGCTGTATGGGGAAGAATGGCCTCGACCCATTCTCGAATCCCCTCCAGAGGAGGCGGGGGTAACTTCTCGGCTGCAAAGCATCGAAATAGATCAATATTTACAACATGAGATATAAAGAAAGCGAGGCCAAAGTGGGTACTCCACTAATCAAGGACGAAGACTTACGGGCAAAATTCCACACTTCTGGAAACCCAGTTGGATCCGCTACAAGGTGCTCGGTCCGTACATAGAAAAAGTTATCAAAAAAACGACGATTGGTCCTGTCGTCCATCTTGACCACTAAACCTTTCGACCCTCGGGGACGCGCGTGGATCATAGTGCCGCGAATCTTTTGGGGAGCGAACAGGCTGAGCACGTGTCTCAGAGTGACCTCCCGACCGGCTAGCTCCGCGTACTTGATAAACATGAGGAACAACTTGTACAGGTAAGGAGAGAGTTGGGCAGGACACACCTCATAATAGCGGCAGAAGTCGACCACCAACATTGGAAGCGGAAGTGTGTACCCCACTAGGAAGGGGTAAGCATAGAACGAGCAGAACCCGGGACGGTCGATCTGGACCCTATCTTCTCTCTTCGCCGGTACCATCTCGACATAACTAGGAATACCCCATCGTGCCCTTAAATCCGCTATTCCGATCTCCCCTATAACGGGAGGAATATTTACCTGCTCCGCACCACCATCGGCGCTGAAATCCACCACTGCCCTCCCCGGGCGGGATAAAATTTCCTCTACCGAAGGAATATCTTCGCACTCCATCGGGTCTACGTCTCCGTCTGCCGGAGCAGGGTCCCCAGCTGCCGGAAAGATAGCCGGAAGATTATCGTGAGAAGAAGTTCCTGTCATCTTTAACTCACAAAAAGAGGAGGAAGGAACTTTGAGGAAGAAGCGAGAAAGCTAAAGATTGCTGCGAGCAAAGGAGTCAAGAAGAGTTCAAACTAATAGAAAGGGAGATATTCTTGGAATTCTCTCGAAGATGAGCGATGAAGTGTGAGAAACGAGTGACAAACCCCTTCAATTTATCAGACACAGATTCTCCAGGGCACAAAACCAACGGTCGCCGCCAGAACCTGGCCGGGCACGAAACGATTCAGCTTCTCGGGAACGTGCGCCATTGTGACTGCTTGTACAAAGCTACGTTTCGTTTATCAACCGGCTCTTCGGTTTCGAAACCGTCGTGACGGCATAAGAGTATTAGAAAGACGCCTCCGGGCAGTTTCGAAATTTATAACGCGAAAGAAAAATACGGGAATCTGACTCCCTCCACGATTACGTCGCAAACATTATCCGTCCGCCGAGGTCGGTAAGATACGACCCCGACGAACGAAGGGACTAACTGTATTGGTCAGAATCTGACCACACGACCACGGCGGCAATGATCCCGTCCCAACCATCCTGCAGTAGTAATCAACGAACTCGACATCTAATCACTGCTATTTACGATATAAGCGTCGAGGTCGAGGCCTCTCCATGAGGGGAGGTCACCTCCCCGACCCGGCCCAAATAAAGTATGATGAGCACGAGAAGTTCTGGACTATAAATAGAGGGTAGAAGAACCTCTTAAGGGGGCTGGGCTCTCCATGATCCACAAACAGTGGAAATAATGGGAGAACTCCATGAAAGAGAGATTGAGCCTATACAAAGAGAGAGAGATTCCACCTTCAACCAGGGAGGAAGAAATAGTTTGATGGTAATCTCCTGAACCTCTTCAAGGAGAGGCAGGCAAAATTTCTATAATCAATAAAACCTCCCAAGTGTCATTTCAATTGACTCTTCTATCTTTATGATTCTGTTATTTGATCCAGTATTAATTATGGTTGACTATGATTTACCCCTTCATCTATATTGATTGATTTGCTTGAAAAGTGTTAAGCAACTTTTGAGTCAAACAGTATATAGTACAGTTTCCTCTATTTTCAACTAGCAGTAATAAAATGGCTATTTATGAACATCTCTCGTAATTTCTCAAATTCATGTAGAATCTTTCACTTATACTCCGTTGGTTAATCGACGTGCGCTCTCCTTCTTGAATTTCACACGGGCATTTTACTTTCTTAAATTCGTCAAATCACCCTTGTGGTAGTGGGTCTCATCAAAAGTATTTCCAACAAAGAATATTGCAGTTGGAAAAAGGTAATGGAACACCAAAACTAACCCTTTCTTTTACCTCCTTTATGTATATAGTAGCTGATATTTAGTCGTAGACGTATAGTTTTTTGTTTTTTGTTTTTTGGTGTTTGACGGTGGTTGATAGGAAGTTTGTATAGACGTATAGTTAGATGTAAGGATACTCCTCTTAAACCAGATAATAATATAACATTATTTATCATTATGAATTGCACCGATAGTGCAATAAAAATGCAATGAGACAACTAATTTTATTTCGATCTAAATTATTATACACGACTGTAAATCAGTATTTATTTTGTTTTGCGTCACTTAAATTTACTTTAAGAATATTGGCATTTGCAAATATGCACCTTTTACTAGGATGATTTAAGAATCAAAATACTCCAAGTGGTCGTTTGTTATGATGAAAAAACAAAAATAATCATAGAATAAAAATTTGGTACCGCCTTATCTCTTGTTTTTTGGGATAGGTTATTCTAGGATTAAAAATAGTATCATAACTTGTACCTGTCAGATGGTGAAAAAATAATCACAGGATAAATTATCACAGAATAAAGCAATAATTAATCCTACCATAACTAATCTCAGGATTAGATGGAAAAATTTCACATTAGAACAACTGAGCTTCCCACTTTTTAATTTTATAGCCCACGTTTCAATTTACAACCAGCAATCCCAAAAATAATACGCTAATACTCAACATTCAACTCCAATAGGTTCTCGAAATTACTATTTAATTTTTAAAAAAAATTGCCTCAAGTTTTTATGTTAATTTTCGAATCAGTAACTATGCCTCATTATTAGTTCAACAAGCCAAATCCATTTGGGTGGTGAAAATTAGATTTTTAACAAGCTTAAATATGTGGATTTAAATTCCGAATTTGATTTTTGTGAAAAATTTGGAGCGGGTGTTATTTAGGCTTGTTAGAAATAGTATAAGGAGGTTGTATATAAAATTTGAAGTCATTTAATGGAGATTTGGACTGGTTTTGAAAAGAATTGCAACTAAAAATCGTGGAAGAAGTTCGTCTACAGACGCTTGTATAAAGGTGTATAAAAGTGTATAATAATGTATAAGATGTGTTTATATACTCATATACACTATTATACATAATTATACAAAAAAGTGAATTCGTCTTCTTCCTTGCGTCTTTTCTGAAATTCAACTCAAGTAATGCTTAAATACTCCAAATCACTTCAAATTTAAATTTTGAACTCATTTTGATATTTTCAATCAATTGGAACAACATCCAATCCAAACAACTACAAACTCAAAAAATCATATTTTCTTTTTAATTTTTTTACATTGCAATCAGGTAACACAGGGAGAGAAGTAATGACAGACGGCCCCTTGAAGTATATGTAGAAGATGTGAGAAGAAGAGAGAGTGAAAGCAATGGATGTGAGAACATATATTTAACTCCATAACTTTTAGAAGCAATGGTTGTAAAAACGCACATTTTGAATTTGCTAGTGCTTTCAAAATATGTACAATATGGGCTAGGTCAGGTAAAACTAAAAACATGGGCCATTTTTTGTTGGGAAACTTACATAAATGTCCCAAATAAATCTCAACTTACCAACCTCTAGCCACTAGCTATAGACTTACCAAAACTAGCTAACAAAAATTGAAAAACCAAATAATAGGGTTCTTTCTCTCAAAGAATCACATGCAAAAATCACCTTCCATATTTTTAAGCGTGATTAGCAACATTAGATACAAGACGGAAAGAAAATTTCATGGACGGGGTAGCAAATAAGGTGATGAAATACAAAAATCTATACAATATTCCGAAAATCTAAACAAAAAAGGAACTTTTTCAATGGGTATAGTTGAAATTCATTGAAAATATATAGATAAGTCAATATACAAAATTTGAGGAAGATTGGAGGTGATTTGGACTGGTTTTGTGTCAAAATTCGTAATTAAATCGAGTTCAAAAAAGTCTTCTGCGACACATGTATCAAACATGTATCACGCATGTATCACACACACAAGTATACATGGATATACATGTGATACACAATTGATACAAATATGATACATATGTGATACACAAATGATACATAGTGTGATACACATATCATTTTTTTTCATGTTCAGCTTTTACTTCGAATTTTCAATTCAAACCACCTCAAAACTTCACTAAATCATCCCAAAACTGAGATTCAAGCTTCTTCAGTTGTGCCCAATCTATTCTACTAACACCCACTCAAAACAAAGCAAAAATTGATATTTTTTGCTACAAATAGCTAATTGGCTAATTTGGCTAATATTAGTAATATTCTATCAATTAGCCAATTTTGTAATGAGCTACTTATAAATGGACATAGCTGGTAATTTTCCTTTTTGTTATGGTGTGAAGTCATGTGTATTTTCTTGTAATTCTATAATATACGAAACCGTTAATAAGTAACGATAACAGGATACCTAATCCTAGTATAACTAATCCACCAAACGCCCCCTCGTTTGGTTGAAAAGAAGTTATCCTAGGACTAACTATTCCGGGATTAGTTATTTTACCTTTTCATGGGAATAAAAAAATACTACAATTTCAAAATAATTAATCCCGAAATTAATTATTCTGTACTTTTTTATTAACTAAATATGAAATAAACTCTTATTAAATTTAATTTCGGGATTAATTAGTCCTTATACCTGGTACCAAACGAGAGATCATGTACAAAGGGGAAATTTGATGATGCCCGTGGTGTCTAAAACCCATCGAACATATTATGCGGTGTGGGACAGTAGAAGTAGGTTCTTCACTAGTACGTATTGTTTATCAATATTTTGGGAGGTAGTGAAAGAAAGTCCAAAAAGTGGTGTGTGTCAAAACGGACGATCCGAAGAACCCACCTCTCTCTCTCTCCTCCTATAAACTAGTGGACTATTACTACTATTTCATTTCTCTTTCCTCATATCTTCTCTCTGCACAGTGCAGACTCAGTAAAATAATACTCCTACTACTACACACTACAAGAAATTTTATTTTATTCCTGTCCTGTTTTTGCTACCCTTTTCTGCTTTTTGATTTTTTCATTCTCAGCTGACGATTTTTAGAATTGGGACTCTAATTTCTGATCAATGGACACCATTTAGACCATCAGGTATGAATTTCCTCATTTCCCTATTATTTATTCCCGATTTAGTAATAACTTCAAAATCCCAACTTGATCTTCTTGAAAAAAGGTGTCATCTTTATTTATTTATTGGGTTTTGACAGAACTCATATAGGGAAAAAAGGGTACAAGAAAAAGACAAAAAACAAAAAGGAGCATTCCTTGACAGTGTCTGTGTCACAGGGTTGTTGAAACAAACAATCATGGCTGTGGTTGAGAATGCTGGCATTAACATTAACGTTGTTGGCTCATCGAATCCCGGCAGAATTGTACAGAAAGATGCTGCCTTCGATCATCATCAGTCAGTAACAACGAAACAGAACGGCGTGCAGAGATCAAAGATGGGTCCCACTGATCAGAATTTCCGTATGGTGCAGCAAGAAACTTCTGTACAGCACAGCATCAACGGCAATGGAGTATTGGTTAATCATAATATGGTTCAGCATGAGCATCAGAAAATGAACGGTATTGATTTAAGGAATGGAGATGATGGTGAGGAAGGGTTTAAGAAGGAGATGAGGGATTTGGAGGAAATGTTTTCCAAATTGAATCCCATGGCTGAAGAGTTTGTGCCACTTTCACTAACTAACCACAGGATTATGCCATTTCCACCTAGTGGTGGTGGAGTGCAATTTGGCTTTGATGCTACTAATAATTTTGTAATGCAGTCTAACCAGGGAGTTTCCAATGCAAATTCCAACCGAAGGGTATCCAGTTGATCACCCTTTTCTTCCTCATTTATCCCGTTTTTGTTAATTTATATATATATATATATATATATATATATATATATATATATATATATATATATATATATATATATATATGTGGTCGAATGTTAACACTTTCACTTTAAGTCCTATGCTTTTCTAGGAGTTGTTAGCCTTTCAGAGATTTATTAAGAACTTCTATTCTGTATAATATCGGCATGAGATGAGCTTATATAGGAGTAACATGGTCAGTGAAGATTTATATAGCCGACCTCAACTAGGTTGATACTAAGGCATAGTTGTTATTGTCGTTGGTGTTTGAGGTCAAATATGGATATGCTAGGTTCTCTAGTTTTGTTATTGTTACTTTTCAGAATTACCTTTTAGTTTATGTTAGATGTAAGATGATCACTTCAAGGACATTTCTTATTTGTCCAGTTGTTATTTTGCATAAAAGTAATAAGAGGGTTTAGTTAGTCATTGTAGGGTTACGGTAGAGGCTATTGTGTTTCTTTATTTCTTTCTCTACCCTATAATTAGGTAAAATAAAATTTTCTCTGTATTGATTCTTTTCATAATAATTCAACGTCTGCGAGTCTGATCTGAGTAGTTGAGTTTTAAATGGCGCGTACAGAAGAAGAATGGCTTTGGTTATGGGAGGAGAAGGATGAATACCCGAACAGGCATGGCCCAAAGGGAAGATGTTATAAGGAGGACGGTTTATGTGTCCGACATTGATCATCAGGTATAAGAGGTCCCGTATTGTTAATGGGGTTATTGCACATTTGCACCTTTATCTCTCTCTCTCTTTTTTTTTTAATGTTTCTTCTTTTGTGTAGGTAACTGAAGAGCAGCTTGCAGCACTCTTTCTTAGTTGTGGACAGGTGGATATCTTTCCATTATGTCAAGCTTCCATACTCATTAGTCGTGGTTATTGTCTCCCTTTTTAATTATGTTGAGGAAATGTTCTGCTTCCATATCTGACTAACCTTGATGTGCTGAAGGTTGTGGACTGTCGTATATGTGGTGACACCAATTCTGTACTTCGTTTTGCCTTTATTGAGTTTACAGATGAAGGTAGGTTGAAACATGATTATTTGCTTATATATTCTGGTTAGGGTTCCTGTTCTCGAACATCACAATTTCACCAATATGTTATGCAGAAGGTGCAAGGAGTGCTCTGAGTCTTGCAGGAACTATGCTTGGATTTTATCCCGTGAGAGTGCTTCCCTCTAAAACTGCGATTGCTCCGGTTAATCCAACCTTTCTTCCAAGGGTGAGGAATTGTGGCTACATGTGATTTACCTTTTGTAACATTGTCCTAGGGGCGGCAAATACATACCTAGTGCTGCTCATACTAAATTTTTCACCTTTTGCGCTGATGTTAGTCTGAAGATGAAAGAGAGATGTGTGCCAGAACAGTATACTGTACAAATATTGATAAGAAGGTAATTTTGGGTTTATAATTCACTTAGTTGATGGACATCAATGAAGACAAATATTTACGACTTGTATGTTTGTATGAAAGCAGGTTACTCAAGCAGATGTCAAGCTGTTCTTTGAATCCTTTTGTGGAGAGGTTTGTAGCTGCTCACGTAACAAGTCTGGAAGTGCCGGTCTTTTCTTTAAATCCTAACTCTATGTTTGGATTTTCTTCTCTAACATAGGTTCATCGCTTGAGGTTGCTTGGTGACTATCATCATTCGACTCGTCTAGCTTTTGTTGAGTTTGTCATGGTAATTTCATGAGCTTTTGACTTGTATTGCTGCTTGAAACTTCCTTGAGCTGCGGATCTCTTCTTCTAACTAATCTTCCGAGATACTATAACTTCCAATAGTTGCTATCAAATCGTATCGTGTGTTGCAAATGCTTGCATTTGGCATTTTATTTTTGCTCAAAGTGTATTATCTCTTTTACTCTGTGCTTGTGGTTTTGAGAGGCTAAATAATTCTATTCATGTTGGATAACTCCCGTATACAAGATGTATACTAAAAAGTATAGAACCTACATAGTTTATGGTTCTTTACAACCCAATCTTCTATGGAGCTATATAGGCGCACCAAAAACAAACTAATAAGAGGTTATTCCTCAAATTTACAAACTCATTTTCTGACCCTTCAAAAGCTTTCCTATTTCTCTCTCTTCACAGGACCCTCATAGTGCCTAGCGGGGCAATGTTCCATACCATACATATTCTCTTCCTTCTTCTAACGACATAGTTATCAATGTATCTTTCACCACAAGCGTGAAATCACCTGGTAATGTAACAAGAGGTGATCCAAGTTCCACTAGTGATGTAACGAGATGTGATCCATGTCTTTTCCTAAACATCTACATATAAAATACCAGCTAGCATATTTTATGAAGTGGGTTAAGAACCATGAAGTCTCTGGTTCAAATCCCAGCGGAGGCAAAAATACTAAGTGATTTTCTCCCATCTGTCCAATAGCAAGTACTCCATGGAATTAGTTGAGTTTGCGCAAGCTAGTTCGAACACAACAGTTATAAAAAAATAATAATAAAAGTTACCAGCTAGCATTGTAATCCTTCTTTTCATGTTATCCACTGTCATAGTCGCCCCTCTATTGCCAACCGAGCGAAGAAGCACACTTTCCTAGGTGCTCTAGGGATCCAAATAGACACATCAGAGAAACGTGACTCATCTCTAATCAAATGCTATGGTAGAGTTCACTGAAAATTCTTTGATCAGTGAATTTACTGAACATGAACCATCTCTTTGTACCCCCTACCTTCACGAGTCCTAACCAATGAGTATCATATTCTGTGTTTAGACATTTCTGTCAACCTTTGGAATTCTTCCACCTTCCAATCTTGTAAAGTTCCTCTAAATCTCAAGTCTCAATGAACTCACCCCTCTTATGCCGGACGTTTATTGCACCATCATCTCTTTTTTGCACAAAGTTGGGAATAAGTTAGATAAGGTCGTCCGCAACTTGCTCTCTCCGCCAGAGGCAAATGTAGTGTTTCATGGGCGGGTTCAACTGAATTCATAACTTCTGACGCGGAGTAAAAATTTCTATATAAAAATTCATTAAAATTGCAAAAATAGTAGATATGAACCCATAACTTTAAAAATATAATGGGTTCAATGCTTAAAACCTTAAAAGTTGAACCCATAGGGTTTAAATCCCGGATGCGCCTCTGCTCTCCGCGACCACTTTTGATCCCAAAAGCTGACTCTTCTTCCATTTCTTACCTTATAGGTAACAAAGCTGCCAAAATCTTCTAAACTCTTCATGATATTTCTCAGAAGATGTATCCTTAAGGTAATGCTACATTTCTAGCCTCCATTCCATTCCACAACACCATATTTTCTTGCTATCACATCCCTCCATAATGCCTGCTATCACTTCCTTCCATAATGCCTGCTCTTCAATCCCAAATCTTCATAGCAACTTCCTTTTTTTTTGATGAAATAAGTGATATATCATTAACAAGCATCAAGAAGAAGCAAAGATTACAAATAGAGAAATTCTCAGCTCAAAAAAGACAAAAAAAGCTATCACAGAATTAGTGAGCTGATGAATTCCAGGAAAGTAGGAAAGTATCAACACTGAATAGAGGAGTGTGGTTAAACCAACCAAAAAGATTAACCAAACATCTAGCCTTCGGAGTAGGGGTGGGAGTTGTGATGCCATCAAAACACTTTTGGTCATAGCCACTTCCCTAGTAGTGCCTTGTTGAAAATTTTAAGGTCTTTCACCCAATCCCTCATATCCGAACGTGAAGAAACCTGGTGAAACTTTCAAGTTTCAATGGCTGAGTCCCACAAGAAGTTCCTCCTATTTCAACTTTTTTGTCACTTCAATCGGAACTCTGTGCTTGTCTTTGAACATTATTTTGATGTTATGTGATTCTTTTGCAGTCAAAAAGTGTAGAAGCACCAGCTCTGGTTCCTATTTGGATACTGCACTAACTCAAGATGTTGCTTATGGCATGGTCACCCCATGAATTCTGAAATAAATTCTGATAAACTGAACTTTGGCTTAAATCTTTCTCCTTTTCTCCTCGAATACCAGTATAAGCATATACTGCTGTCTTTCTTTGCCGTCACTAGCTGATCCTAATTTGTTAGCTATCTAAGCTTTACTGTGTTCACTGGGTAAGTTTCTCTATAATTAAATCTTCTTTGGCTTAAGATCCATCATCTGCAGGTTAACTGGTACAGTAGGTCTTTTGATAGCCAGTTGCAGTTTAGTTTTCCTACTTTAGCTATTTACTAGTGCTTGTAGAGTTACTTTTGGAAGGAGAATTCCTTTAGTTCTGCATCTAGCAGATGAAATAAAAGAGGTGAGTGCAGTCTGATAGAATTTTGTCCAACTCCCAAGAGAATTTATTTGAAGATTAATTTTACGGCTATTTACTTTTCAAAAAGTTTTATCGTTTATTATGACTACGTTGATTATTTTCTCTGTACAAAACGTGGGAGATGAAAGAGATTAATAGCTTCATTCATAAGAAGAGATTAAAGAGATTAAACTGGTAGTTTCTTCTTTTATGTTTCATTCATAAGGACTGGTTGATTCGGGTTGAGTCATGTTCACCCACATCTCGTACATACTTTTTGATGCTGCTTGGTTTCCTATAAATGAAATTGTTGGTCTTATGAGGGGAAAAAAGAACAGAAAGCTGCATCCTTTGCAAATAAAGAAATGGAAGGTCTCGGTACCATAAATGAAATTGTTGGTCTTATGAGGGGAAAAAAGAACAGAAAGCTGCATCCTTTGCAAATAAAGAAATGGAAGATCTCGGTACCATAAGGAATTTGAAAGAGTAGGAGCTTGTTTTACATAGTTCAAGACGGATCACATTATGGAAGGAGTCCAACAGTAGAAACAAATTAGAAACTAAAAGACCTTGCTGAAAGGGTTAACGACAGCAGGAAAAATTTGCTTCTCTTTTTGTCTATTTGATAAGTTGAAGAGGCATCTGACAATATTCAGTAGCTATCTATGCATGTTAAGTCTTGATTAGCTCATCTGCAGCAACTAGAGATATCAGAAGCCTTAGAATTTAGAAATGTACGGACAAAGAAAATTGCAATCGTGGTGTTTTTGATGCCCTAGCAACTTGAGTGGACTTGTTGGTGAGGAATCAGTTTGAATTTATAGAATGTGGAAACAGAATGCCCCATGGGCAGTCCCCAGAACTATTGGTCTTCAATACATGTTCTGATTGTCTGGCAGAATTGGTGTTTACTTTGCTTCTGTCAGTGATCAACTTTTAATCTCTTGCCGTGAGTTAGGGCTTCTCGGTCTACAATGTATGGCTGTTGCTTTGATGGGAATCTGTTACAATGTGATTATTCATCACTTAAATGAAAGCTGGAGATAAGGGCTATATACTTCGTCTCTTTATTCAAGGAAATAGATATTATTTGCTTCCACCAAACCATCTTCAGTTCCCCTTGATATATCTTAGCACTTGCAAGTACTCTCATTTAACCTGCATTTTTATTGATTTATATTTTCTCAGTACATGAGTTGCTTTCAACTAATATGTTTCTTCTTTTTCCACCGCCTCCTATCCTTCCAAGGGGTTAAGAATTGGTAGGGATATATGAAAAGTTCCTCTATGATATTCATCGTTCACTGGATTCTTTATCTGCATTTGAGGTTTTCATCTGATGCATTCAAGAAGCTGTTTTCTGTTACTTGTGGGAAATGCTTATTTCATAAGTGAGGTCATGAACTGTAGAGTATGTGCTGATTTTCTTGAGAGACACACTTTCGGCTAACGTTTTGCTTGTATTAGTTGGAGGTGAAACTTGTATAAGGGGATAACACTTCTAAGTTTGGAAATCACATACTTGTTCCTATTCTTCTTGTCTATTATTTGTCTTCTATTTTTTTTCACACTCTGCAGCTTATTTTCATGGCAGACAACACCTACACGATCGTGCCTATTGTTAGAATTTCATTTTATATTAGTGTGCATGATGTGGCAGTTCTGTGATCTCACAGCTGGTCCGCACTTTTTGAAGATTTTCTATTGTCTTTGTTAGTATATTCACGGGATTTGAGAATAACAAATTTTGATCTCTTCCATTTTACTGATTCTTTTCATCTCCTTCATGGAATTTGGTACGACTTTCCATTGCTGCATTTTATGCATGGTTTCATGTTAAATTTTCGTATGTGTCAGGCGGAGAGTGCAATTGCAGCACTGAACTGCAGTGGTGCAATCTTGGGATCACTTCCCATAAGGTTGTTTTCTGATTCCTTAAAAACTTTTCCTAAAGCTTCCTCTCTTGACATTCCTGTTTAATCTATAATCTTTATATTATGGTCTATGCAGGGTAAGCCCATCGAAGACTCCTGTGCGACCTCGTGCTCCTCGCTCACCAGTGCTATGATCAATCACTTTGGCGATGCATTTTCAGTTGATCTTTTGCTTATAAGCATCTCAAAATATTTACATAGATACATATATTATTAGAGTAGCTTTTTCGTACTTAATATCAGTTGGGAATCTCTCACCCACGGGTTACTTATCAGGTTTATTTAGCTTATAGAGTTGGCTGGTTTATGAGGGCGTAAGTAGACTTAATTTAAGTTGGTATATTATATTTCTATAGACAATGCCTCGAAGTACTAATACTAGATGGATGTTTTTTACAGTTACATTCGTCAGTAACTTTCTCAAAATTCCTTTGTTTTGCTCTCTTACGTTAGCTTTCTGCTATGTCATTGGGGTTGATTTGCTTGCACATTTGTTATGTGACACTCTTTCCTTGGATAGATGATAGTATTAAACAGTTAAAGAAGTTGACGCTGCCAAATTTGGGGCTCTGTTGAGATAATAGATGGGGCAGTCAAAGGAAGAAGTGTCACGTCCCATAATAGGTTGTCTAGTTGTCTTTTGTTCTTTGCATGGCTATTCAGTTCAGTTGTGACCCCCCATTCATTTTCCTTATTTATTTGATGTATTAACTGTGTAGTTGTAACCTCCCCGTAAAATGAAGGTTTAGGTACTGGACATAGTGACATTTGATGAGGTTTAGGACTTATTAACTGCTTTCTTAAATCTTCACATAGAAAGCCTTTTATCTTGACTTCCTGCTTTGACTTCAGAGAAGCCTTTTATCTTGACTTCCAGCTTTGACTTTAGAGAATAATTGAATGGTCAATATTGATTTTGATTAATCCACTTAGTGAACACAATGTGTAGTTAGGGGTCGTTTGGTACAATAGTGGGATATCTCAGGATATCCCATCGGAGTAGTTATATATAGGATAATTAATCCTACCATTTTAGTGTAAACGTTATCCTGAGATTAATTTACACTTTCAAACCAAACATGGAAAAAAGTTAATTTCAAACTTTATCCCAAATTATTATTGTTATCCCATATACCAAATGACCCCTTACTCTCTAATCTAATTGTCACAAGTCGTCTTGTTTAGATTTTCAAATATTGAACTGGAGGGTGAATCAAACTTTTTTGCCTTTTCAAAATGGAAGGGTCTCGCAAGAAAATGTACATCTTTTGCGCATTCTTTTAAAAGAGAATGGCAGATCATGAGCAACAAGGATTAGCTACCCTTGTGAGTTGTGCCCTCGAAAATAATAAAGTTCTCTGTCCTTAGCTGCGTCATCACATCAGGTGAGACTGCGAACCATCACAAAAAGCGAATGTTGAGAGTGGGATTTGAACCCACGCCCTTTCGGACCAGAACCTTAATCTGGCGCCTTAGACAAACTCGGCCATCTCAACTTGTTGCTTAACTCATGTTTCAAATAAAATCAATCACTAATAGTTGCCCGCTAGTCCAGCAACCATCGTTCAAAGGTTGCTCAGTACTCAACGCAGCATGCTTGTGGTAACAACCTTTACCTGTGCAATCATTAATCTATTGGCCCTTATATATAAACCCAGCTGCAAGAGATGCAAAGAGTTTCATAAAGCAAAGCAGCATATCTTGCATGACCTTCTAATTAGCTAACTACAATAGCAGACATTTTTTTAGTTACAAAGTACACCATTAAGAAAGTACAATCATTTATATTTTCTGCTACGAAAAGCTTGTGTCACAGCACATAATTAACTAGAAAGCTGACACTGATATCTTGAATTTGACAATATCCACAAGCAAGAAAATCTGCTTCCATGTATACGGACTTTCGCCAAACGGGCTAGTTTCATCAATCACTACTTGTCCTACGTACATTAGCCACAACTTGCAACGGAATAATAACCATCCAAATCTTCTTTTCTTTATTTTGCAAGTAAGGCTTCAAAAAATGACCCAACCAGATCCAATCATATAGAAATATACATTCAACCCATGGGCAGTTCCCATTCTTGATATACGATTTGTCCTCAGCTTCACATAACAAATTCAATGCCTTCAATATCAACATGGCAAGCATAAAGAAATGAAATTTATAAAAAGATAGTCTTTTTTCTGTAAAGGGTGTAAATCCAAACTGTCCCTAGCAACACTTGGACTATGAAAAACAAGAAAAATATCATAGGAAAGAGCATCGATATATAGAAAATCAAGCTGCCCAGTTTTGGGTTGAAAAATTGAAATTGTACATAACAGATAAAACGTTATTCTGAAATACTTGAAAACCTAATTTAAATGTGACATTTATCCTTATTTTAAAATACTTGAAACATAGACATGTATTTGTAAAAAGTTATGGTTCATTAAATTATTTGAACATGTAATTAATTGACCTTAATTTTATGGAAAGGATGTAGCTTATATGAGATGCCTTTAGTTTGTTGACATCTAATCATAATTAAATTTTCAGTTTCAATAACAAGTTATAGTTTACACTTGAAATTTGTAAAATATTTAATATGATATTGTTTACCTCGAAATACGAGTAATAATTAAATTTGATTTGTGGTTTTAAAAATATGTGATTTAGTTCAATACCAATTAATAATCAAGAAATGTGAGGTATAAATGAAAGAAACAAGTGAATCAAACCAATGTTACTCAAGGAGTTTTGACCTCGAGCTTAGTGACCTCGAGATGAACCAAGAACAATAAAGTAAGAACAGTAGAGAGAAAAGACAAGTCTGATGAGCAATGAGCCAGAAAAGTAAGATACTATATTCTTTGCCAATGATTACATGATGTTACAAATGATTGGAGTCCCCTTTATATAATAGGAAAACCCTAAATAAGGTACATTTCCATTTACAATAAGGATTATTATTGGGACAACTGTCTAACCGCCTAGTACGGAATCGTACAATCCTATTCCGGGATTTGCGCCATGATCTTGGAGGACGTGGCAGGAATCTTGCTCATTCTGTTACAAATTTATAACGGCATTATTCTGGGGTCGAGCATACTCGGCTTCGGTATTCCTCGTACTCCTGTCTTCGGGCATTGCATTCTGTCTTCGAGCTCGAGTCTGGTCCGTCGACCTTAAACTCGACCTACCCAAACTCGGACCTAAGGCGATCCCTCGAGCTTGGGAAATTGGGTGTGCCTGATTTCGACCGTATACAGATAGTCCCCGCGTTTCTTAGATTAAGATGATAAGAAACGATTTGAACTTCGATTCTCCGGAGTCTCTAACGATGATGTCATTCCCGTGACGTGGGCGCTCGAAGTGACCAAAACGTTCCATCGGTTCGCTTCCCCAAAACATTAAAAGCATGCCAGTAATGGTCGGCCACTAGCGCTGCCGGACCGTCACCTCTTATCTATAAATATGGGGTTTCTTATTCGGATCAAAAACTTTACCTCTTCATTGCATTTATTCTGCTCACTTTTCCCCTTCATCTCTTTCTCTCCTTACTACTTTTACTCCGATCACCGGAAAATGCCAAGATCACACAAAACACCACACTTTGCCACCGCCTGAACTCCTTAGCTTAAATCTATGGCTAAAACTTGCTGAACAGTCCCCCAAAAAGAGAAAACATCGTCTTCTTCTACCGCCCGGCCGACCAAACTGGTGGTGCCGTCGGCCCTTCACGAAATCACCTCCGGTCCTTGTGTGATAAAGAAGGATTTTAATGTTGAGAATCCCCCCGATATCCCAGGCCGATATGAACATGTATCTCGTTTTATTTGTTCGATATCGAAGAAGTACCTCAAAGCCATAAAGAGGAACTGCGGCTAGGGAGACGAGGTCTTGGTCCAGATCCCGAGCCCCGAGGAAATCATCACTACCCACGTGGAGGGGTTCTTAAGTGTTTACACTTATCCTTTCACGTTGGGTCCCGTCGATCCGGTAGTGATCGATTTTTGCAAAACATATGAAGTTACCCTCGGCCAGATTCACCCCTCTTTTTGGCGCATCGTGATCGCTGCGTTATTTTTCCGGCAAGGCCGTGGGGTTGGAGTTTACCCTCAGCCATCTCATTCGGCTATATCGGCCTCAATTNGCATTCGTTTAGAGGCTTAAGAGAAGGCACTGAAGATACTCTACTGGACATGCTTATAATGGAACTACTTGACACTCGGTAGACCTATCAATCTCCATAACCTGATGATTCAGCATATGGCAAGAACTGGAGACACTTCCAAGCCTAAGCATGCTATGCCTTATGGTTTCATGTTGACTGAGTTGTTTGACAAGATCAACATTGCCTTACCTGAGCTTAAGTATGGAAACCACAATGACGTTTTGGATGGTGTTACCCTTAAGCAGTGTGGATATGAGGAGATCAAGGCTAGAGGACCCACATGATCTGCTATTCTACTTGGGAGCCGTAGGGCTGCAGAGCTCAGTAAGAGGATGGAGTTGGCTGTTGAAGAGAATGCCAAGCTTCGTGAAGACAATGACGAGCTGAGAAAGGAAACCAGGCAACTTAGGGAAGAGCTCGGAAGAGATAGGGAAGCTCATGCCCAACAGATTGCCACCCTTGTGAAAGCATTGACCCCCTCTACCTCTCAACCATGAACTTGTTTCTTCCAGTGTCCTTAGTTTCCTTTGCTATGTCCTCGATTCTGAAATTGGGGAAAGATAACAAAAGAAAGAGGGCTTCGAAGCCTGAAGATTCCCAGGATGAGGGGGTCCCTGCTCGAAAGCCGAGGAGTAAGCTTACACACGGGGACTTGGGTTCCGCCACCCAAGATCTGGAAGATGAAGATAATGAGGGTGAAGAAACGACGTTGGTGCCCCGAACTAGGAAACCAACCGAGGCCGCCAAGCCCTCCGATCTTGAGACCTCGTCTTATGGTGAAGGAATTCCGGAAAAAGACTTGGGCAAAGCCCTCGAGTCCCTAGAGATTGAGATCATTCCCCCTCCTTCAATAGTACGCCATAGGGGACAAGTGCTGAGAAGGCTGCAACTAATCAGAGCGCCCCAAGCGAGGAGCTCGTGGCCTTGACAATGGGTCACTTACCTTCTCTACCATCATACTCCGAGGAAGCAATAAAGGATGCTTGAGCTCTACGAATGCCCGACCCGATCAAGGTTCTCGAAGAAGATCCTTTCCAGGACTGTTTCACCGGGGTTGACGATGCTGCTGACATTAGTGATGCATCCACCCTCTTCGAAGAGGCTCAACGTCTCCTTTCTCGGGTAAACGCTATCTTTCATTATTGTATCTTTTCTTTTTTCTCCCTCCCTTTGTCTGACATGTCTTAGTTTCATGTGTAGGCCATCATCAAGTTCAGGGCTGAGCTGAGCCAATGTGAGGCCGAGCTCAGGAAGGTTTCA